GCTGCCTTCAGAGTCAGACAGCAGTGAGGCAGAGGAACATCTGGAGCCTGTTCCCAGTGTGTGAATGCGCAGAGCTGCCAGAAGATAAGAACAACTAAGAAAGCAGGGTCGTTTTAGGAGTAAAGCCACACCTTGGAGGTGATTGGCCCCTCCCAGAGGAAACAAAAGAGGAGTGAATGGGGAGGGGGCTTTTGCAGGAAACAATTTGTTCCTTCAGTCATTTCAGGAGTGGAAAGTTCTGTGTGTTTCTATAAGAGACTCCGTGCCAAGTGTTGCCTTGCCCTGGAAACTAGTTATCTGGCAGCTCTCCGAGCAAGATAAGGTTTGTGTTGATAAATATTCCTCTGAAAGACTATTTGCCAAGCCTTGCTGACTGTGAATGAAAGGAATTCACAGTTGTGTAAATAAAAGAAGTTTTGCCAGGACCAAGACTCCGCTTCATGCTTTTTAAGGAAGCCTAGGTCAGAACAATTCCGTTAGTTGCAACTTTAAATGTGTAGCACAGGAGCAGATAATCACTGGTTTGTCCCTCAACCCAATTTAGATTTATTTTGACCTTAAAGCACAGGCAGAGTCAGTATCGTATTTTAAAAAACATAGTTCATTATTTAATTCAAAGATAAAAATAAATATAGCACCAAATGGACTCAATCCATTATGACTACAGAAACAGCTTCAGTACAACCATTTCAAAATACAGAAAATGTTACTTCATTTTTATCTTCATTTAAAGATAAAAGTTATTTCTTTCCGACATCTTCTGATACCAATATTTCTCTATTTATAAATTAAAAGCTAAAAAAATATAAATATGTTGAGAAATGCATTAAATATTAAAAATTAGCATGGGAATAATAACAATAATAATAAGGCACCTAGATACATAATTGTTCCATTCCCAAAGTTCTAAATACGATATATCCACTGTGTTTTCACAGCAATAGAGAAGTTCTGATTATGGCGTGATGGCCTAATGGTGAAGACGCTTGCCTCCCACTCAGAAGGTTGAGAGTTCAATCTTAGGTAGCAGCAGATGTTTCTTTCCTAGGACGCAAAGAAAAAGCTACAAACTCCACATGGCATCAGGAAAGGCATCCAGCCAGTAAATGCTCAGCTCCATCCAGTCGCCCCAACTCTACCCTGAATTAAGGGATTACAGGGTGGTACAAGGGAGTTTTGGAGGAATTCTGATTATAGCTACAAATCCCAGAAACGTCTTTTCATTGAAAACCCTGAGTTAAGGAAACCATTATTGTCTTTTAGCAATTTGTGTTATTGTTGTGGCTGAGATTTGAAATGGGCTTTGGATTGTTTCTGTGGTCATTTTCATAGCCTAGATGGAGACTGGGAAACATTCTTGGTGGAGGAATCATTTTGAAGTGTCCATGTCCCAGAACTGCAAAGTGGATTTCTCTGGAGATAACCTTGCTCAGCAACATGGTTCTTCTCCCTCTTTTTCTCCTTTCAAACTCACATCAAGAATTAAGACAGGGAGCTCCACTCGCAGCTGGTGGATTCTATACAGCAAGGCTCTTAAGTGCTGGTTGCCCATTAACAGGAAGCCTAAGTCAATGGTTTTTCTTTGTTTTGTCCAGTTTTAACGACTCAGAAACTGTAAATTGATGTCCTTCTCTGGCACAAGCAAGGTGCGTGTCATGGGGCTTACGATTTCTCCTTCCTCTTCAGGTTTCACTTCAAAATGCTTCAAGATCTATTTTTTTTAAAGGGAGAGAAAGAAACCTCTTAGCATTCTTTGAGACCAGGCTAATTTTAACTCAGTAAGACAGTTCTCAATCTTAATGTTGTCCTCTCAAATTATAGTACAAAGTTTAACAGTTGCATGGGGGGCGGGCAGTGCATTCAGACAGGGCAGTAATAACCTGACTGATCCAAAATACTTATGCAACTATTCCATCTTTTTCTCTTAGTGATATTCTTGCAAAAAAAAGGATTAAAAAGTGGAATAATTGAGGGGGAACATGGGAGATTTAAAAATGGAAGATAGCCGCTCAGGGTTGCTTCAATAGTGAGATGGGTGGAATATAAATCTAATAAGGAAAGAAGAAAGAAAGAAAGAAAGAAAGAAAGAAAGAAAGAAAGAAAGAAAGAAAGAAAGAAAGAAAGAAAGATAGATAGAAGAAAGGAAGAAAAAAGGAAGAAAGAAAGAAAGAAAGAAAGAAAGAAAGAAAGAAAGAAAGAAAGAAAGAAAGAAAGAAAGAAAGAGGGAAGGGAGGGAGGAAGATGACAATGTTTTGCCACTGTGCCTTCCTCCACAAACAAACAAAATTCCAAGTTTTCAAGCATGTCAGTTGTAGAGCAAGAGTTTATTTGGAAGCTATCATCATCATCATCATCATCATCATCATCATCATCATCATCATCAGTAGACCGTACCCTAGCTAGCGCCAGATATACTTCAAGCTCCGCAATACGTCGGCCAATGCAACTGCGTTTGCCAAAGCCAAAGGGAATGGAGGCATAGGGGTGGTGTGAAGCATTCTTGTGCAGCCATCGCTCAGGCTGGAATGAGTTGGGGTCGGAGAAGTACTTCTCATCCCGCGAGGTAGCATAATGGCAAAGGGTTATCAGGGTCTAAAGAAAAGAGGAAGAGGAAAAAAAGAACCAACATGAGAAAAGCAATTCAGAAAACCATGTTCAGAATGTCTACCTGTTTCATTGCTCTACTTTCACTTCCCTGTCCTTCTTGAAGAGTTATCTTAGTTCCCATTTCTTGATCCAAACCTTCATTGGTCCTCTGTCTTCATTTTGCCCTTAAGACAGTATTTCCATTCAGGAATCCTTTCCTTGAGTTCCCATCTAATAAGAATTCCTGTATGTATATTTATACATTTCCAGAGACTTGGGGACAAAGAGTAACAGGCTTGTTTTGAACCTCCCTGGTGTCCTTTGGTGAATAGTTGTATTGATTTTAAATCTTCCTTCCCATTTATTATATGCCAGGGGTGTCAAACTCATCCAGGGCTTAGATCTGGCCCATGGAGCCACCCTGGAAACAGCGAAGGACTGGCCTGTGGTGCCTCTGCCAGTTAAAATGGAGGGGCTTCATTTTTGCTGGCAGAGCTGTTGGGCCACCACAGGCACCTCCATTACGAATGTCCTCAAGCTGACCATGCTCACCTGCCCCTCACCTGTTGGACACCCCTGTTATATGTTCTTAATTTTCTCCTCTTGGAAAGGACTTCACAACTTATAACTTTGTTGATGTTAAAAATCAGTTGCACATTAGATAGGTAAGGAGAGTGCCAGTAGCACATCATGGGCAACTGGTAACTGCAATCTTAGATGAACATGTGTGGTTGAGATCACATTGTGTCTAGATTATCAGCTTTGTCTTGGGTAGGTCCGTATCTTAACTCATCTATTGCTTCTAATTGTTGTATCCAAATGACACATGAATGGCTTGTGGCAATATACTGCAGACTAATGGTCACTGTGCTTTCTTTCCATTTCCACTTGCATCATCTCTGCCCTTGCTCACCTTCTTAGGGATGATATAGTCTCCCACTTGGATGTCCCTGTCTGAGATGACACGTGCATTACCAGGAATCACTGGGTACAATCTGTAAAGAGCAAATAAAAGCAAGAGTTATTTTAAAGGAATCACAGATTTCACTGCTCGCCCAGCTGTCCAGATCTATAGATACCCAGCGCAAAGCACATTGATAGAAATAAAGTTATCTAACTAGGTAGCTAAATTTGCCTCCAAATGGATGCTCCACAGCAAAAATCTAAGCAGGAAAGCTAAGCACCTACTAAGAGCCCTGGTGGCACAGTGATTAGAATGCAATATTGCAGCCTAATTCTGCCAACTGCCAGCAGTTCGATTCTGACCAGTTCAAGGTTGACTCAGACTTCCGAAGTTGGTAAAATGAGGACCCCAGATTGTTGGGGCAATATGCTAACTCTATAAACTGCTTAGAGAAGGCTGTAAAGCATTGTGAAGCGGTATATAAGTCTAAGTGCTATTGCTATTGCTACTGAGTCATGCAAAAGTAAAGCAAAGATTTTAAAATCCACGTTAGTACAGGTAGTCCTGTTCTTAAGACTGTTATTGAACCAGGAATTACAGTTGTACGTCATTTCAGTCGTTAAGCGTGTCACTATGTGATTGGACCCAATTTTATGACATTTTTGTGGTGGTTGTTAAGGGATCACTATGGTCATTAAGATGACCCACTTTACCCAATAGGCATTTTTTTGACCCAAACTGGAAGTAAATCCCCAAAACCATCAAAAATTGTGGTCATGTGAACACAGGACTCTGCAAATAGCCATAAAGGTGAACCTTTTGTAAAGGGTCCGAAATGTGACATCATGACCATGGGGGGATATGTGTGTCATGGCTATTACACTGTAACTTCAAAACAGAGTCATAAGTAGCTTGTGGTTGGTCAATCGTAAGTTTGAATGGTCACCAAGCAAACTTAGCACTTAGACTTATATACCACTTCATGGTGCTTTACAGCCCTCTCTAAGCAGTTNGTGGTTCTGACAAGTGTCGTCGGCATCTTCATATCCGATCACATGGGCGACAAGCCACTCCCATCCGGTCACATGGGCAGCAAGCCACTCCCACAAAGGAGGCCACACACCCACAGAGTAGGTTCGAACAATTTTTGAAACCCACCACTGCAATAGGCTGACTTTGTAAATCGCTTAGAGGGTGCTGTAAAGCACTGTGAAGCGGTATATAAGTCTAAGGGCTATTGCTAGAGCTATAATATTAGTGTAACCCTTCTCCCACAATGAATTGTTGCAGAGCAAGTTGGTTGCAGCAAGTTGGCCATGGTGAGCTATTGTAGACCCCCGAGGAAGAGTCACAGCCAGGGCAATGGTCAGATGAAAGATATCTCAGCTACAGAAGAAATGGGGATGGAGAAAGGAAGTCAGAAGAAACCCTCCCTAGCAAAGGGATTGATGTCAGCCTGTCCTTCTCCAGGTTTCAGCCACACATATATACTGTTATGTTCTGGGTGAAGAATGGAGGTGAGGCCAGAATGAGTTCTAACAGCTATTTATTCAATACTGCCTGTGAAGCAACTGTTTCTCCCTGGCTGACACAGCTCCTTTTATAGGGAAGCTGATCAGCCCACAACCAATCAGGAGAGAGCATTTTCCCCGCTCCAATAGAGGACCAGACTGAGAACTTTAACTGACAAATATATACAATACATAACACATACACTCACAGTGTCTCCAGATATTATCAGTTTTACTTCAAGGCTGAAGAGTTAACAATAGAGCAAAAGAATGAAAACAAAGCCTGCAAAATTTGTTTTGAAATAGGAGCACACAAAACGCTCGTTTAAAGTCTGCCCAAGTTTTAGAGCCAGGTCAAGGTTTGTCAGCCAGTCCAAAGTCAGAGGTTCAAGAGTAGAATCCATGCATGTCTGATACACACAATCCAGAAATTGGACAATCACATGTTTCTAGCGAAGACAGCTTGATTCGGAGCCGCTTCTTAAGTAAGGCTGCAACCATCTGTCAATAATTTGAAGTTTACTCCTTTGCCTGGCGAGGAGCCTAATAGAAGTTTGCTGTTCTGCTGTCTTCTTTGCTTGTCTGGTGTGGGAACTGGAAGGCCTTAAATCATCCTCGTCTGATTTTTCAGCTGCTCAAGTGGTGTCTATGCTTAATCAGCTTTAGCTAATATCTGGCTTTGTCCTTCCTGAGGCTGATATTCCAGAGGCAGAGCTGGAACAATTTCTTCAGTGTCAGAATTAGCCTTGGAATTTGAGTCCTGAGTCTGGGCCATGACACAACCCATCTTAGTAGTTCACACAGGAAACAATTCCATGAAAACACACACTACTTTTATGGTAAAATTACTGTTTAGCAAAAGAAATGTACAAGCCTGAAAGCACTTCTCCTGTTCCTTGTTTTTACTTTCCAGAAATCTAGAAAGGGTGAATCAAAATTATTATGTCCTTGGACCCTAATTACCGTATTTTTGGGAGTATAAGACGCACCAAGATTTTGAAGGGGCAAATTAAAAAAAAGTTTGCCCCCCCCCAAAAGGAGCCAAAAATGGCCTGTTTTTCATGAAAACAGGCCCGTTTTTTGTTTGAAAAAGACATGCATAGCCTTTAGGAGACTTATGGAGTGCTCCTGGGAGTTAGGGGGGCAGAATTGAGCAAAAAATGGCCTGTTTTTCACTCATTTCTGCCCTCCCCAGCCCCCAGGAGCACTCTAAAAGCCTCCTAAATGCTATGCACAACCATTTTGGTGAAAGGGCCAGGGTTTCAGAAGGTAAAAAATGCTGTATTTAGTGTATAAGATGACCCTTTTCAGCCTCTTTTTTGAGGGAAAAAGGTGTGTCTTATATTCCAAAAAATACGGTACTTTCATTGGTAAATTTTTTTATCCTGTCTTTTATATATTCCAGTCAACTTATGGTGGCAAACCAGGGGTGGATTCCGGCAGTCACTACTGCAGGTTTGCACGTGGGCGCTTCACACATGCGTCAGCTCTTGATGAGCACTGCGTGCACATGCGCAGTACAATAAAATTGTTCTGTGCATGCACAGAAGCAAAAAAACAAGATAGCGGCGCTTATGGCACCGCCCGGAGAACTGGTTCAAGGGTGTGGCAGGCTTGGGGCGCTGGCGGTCCCAGAGACCCAAGCCAGCAAACCACTACCAGTTTGGCTGAATTGGTCTGAACCAGTAGGAACCCACCACTGTGGCAAATGTACCTAATAGTCTTGCTCCCTCTTTTCCCCAGTGGTTGGGCTGGTAGAGAGGGTCTGGCCCAAAGCTACCCAGCCAGGTTCCATGCCTAAGGTGGGACTTTTACTCGCCATCCCCTGGTTTCTAGCCCAGCACCTGAACCACTACACCAAACTGGCTCCATGACACCAAATTGATCCCATAGATCCATTCTTAAAACCACATAGATATTCCTATATGGTAATGGTTCTATCTCAGTATTTCACACACACACACACACACACACACACACACAGAAGAATAGAAAAGGGTAGACTGTGGGTTCTGAAGAGAGAAATTGGTGCTTGCTATCTAATGGATCCGGCTTCTACAAGGTTAGTCACTTTGTGAGAGTGTCCAAAACATGCTCTCAAAATGCCAACTGAATACACGAGTCCTTAGAATTGCCCAATTCTTAAACGAAGGGTTGTCTACTGTGTTTCCCAAAAATAAGACCCAGTCTTATTTTTTTTTAATCTCCAAAAGAAGCATTGTTTTATTTGGGGGGGGGATGTCTTCCACTGTCTCACCTCGCGGCGGAGGCACTGACAGCTCTGCCCAGGAGGAGCCAGTGTGGCTGTTGCCAGCCCTCTTCTTCTGCTCTTGCTTGCCGCCCCTCGTGTGTGGCGCCTCCCCACCTCCATTTCAGGAAAGACCTCTGCAGCCAAGAAACAAGCACGGGAAAGGCCTCTGATGGTGAAACAGAGGCTGGAGGGGGGCACCGTGCATGTCAATCCAGAGCTCATTTCTTGCTGCAGAGACCTTTCCTGAAGCCTTCTGACAGTGAAATGGAGGTCAGGGCTAATGCCACAAGTGGCAGCAAGTGGCCATAGAAGAAGTGGGCCGGCAAGGCAAGGCAGGTGTCAGGGTGCGGGAGGCCTGGCTGCAACTGTCCTAAAGTAAGTGGGTCCTGGGAATGTGGGGTTAGCTTCACCCCCCTAGCCCCATCCTAGCTTGATTTTTACCTTTCCCCCTCATCCCACCTCATGCAACCAAGGGCAACAGAGTGGACATGGTCTTAACTAGGGCTTATTTGGGTGGTAAGGCTTATATTGGGCACACATGTAAAAATAAAGGTAGGTCTTATTTTTAGGATAGGTCTTATTTTGGGGGAAAACACATTCTATATCACTTTTCTTTCATTCTGCGTGGCTTGGTTTACACAGACCTAGAAGCCTTATTTTAAGAAGTCAATCAATCTATTGCAGTTGGTCCTTATACACAGACTTGCACCAATTTGTTCTCTTTATCAAACCTATACAGGAAAGCAGGCAAATTATTTAAAAACATGCCAAATTCAATTCTATTTACATATTATGAAATTATAAACATCACATTGACCGCCATTTTTTATAATTGTAAGTCATTTTAATTGGGCTTTTCTCCTGCCTTGATTTATGTGCCAACACTTGTGTGACCTATTTTACCTCTGATTTCATTGCAAAGGATCAATATGCAGAGTTGCTATTGTGGTTTCTCTTTCAGTTGGAAAGTCCTACAATCCCTTCACTGCTTTCTTGTCAGGAACGGCAGGATGTTTCCTTCCTAATAGGCTGCTGGGATGGGGCCCAGCTGAAGGAATCCTTCTGAGGTGAAGTTTGCAATTCTTCTTTATAGTTTTTGAAAGGCTTCGCAACCAAAATCCCATGAAAAGAAAGATCTGGGAAGAATCTACCTCTGTGCTGGGTAGTTGAAGAGGAGAAGATATGCACAAGTGTGTGTTGCTGCGCATTAGCTTCCAAAAGCAGCAGCTTATGTTTCATAACCTTGTATACTCCCAATGTTCAGAAGCGGTGAGTCACTGCTCAAATTATCTTTCTGGGGTTCAAAAACTATGGTCTGAAAAACTGTGA